CAATAAATATAATGAAAAGATTTCTTATATTTGTAGATAAAATAAGATTAGACATAGATAGATGAGATAGATAGATAGATAGATAGATAGATAATGAATGTGTATAATTGTTGTTGTACTGACATAAGTGATGCTATATCAATAGAAATATAATGAAAAAGATTTCTTATATTTGTAATGTGACTCAAAAATAAGTTTAGTTAGACATAGATAGATAGATAGATAGATAGATAGATAGATAGATAGATAGAGATAGATAGATAGAATGTGTATAATTGTTGTTGTACTGACATAAGTGATGCTATATCAATAAGAATATAATGAAAAAGATTTCTTATATTTGTAATGTGACTCCAAAAATAAGTTTAGTTAGACATAGATAGATAGATAGATATAGATAGATAGATAGATAGATAGATAGATAGATAGAATGTGTGCTATAATTGTAATGAAAAGATTTCTTATATTTGTTGTGACTCAAAATAAGTTTAGTTAGACATAATAGATGATGCTATATCAATAGAAATATAATGAAATGAATAGATTTCTTATATTTGTTGTTGTACTGACATAAGACCAAAATATAATGAAAAAAGTTTAGTTAGACAAAATAAGTTTAGTTAGACATAGATAGATAGATAGATAGATAGATATAGATAGATAGATAGATAGATAGATAGATAGAATGTGTATAATTGTTGTTGTACTGACATAAGTGATGCTATATCAATAAAAATATAATGAAAAAGATTTCTTATATTTGTAATGTGACTCCAAAATAAGTTTACATAGATAGATAGATAGATAGATAGATAGATAGATAGATAGATAGATAGAATGTGATATTGTTGATGACATAGATAGATAGAATAAAAATATAAAAAAAGTTTCTATATTTGTTGTTGTACTGACATAGATAGTGATGCTATATCAATAGAAATATAATGAAATGATTTCTTATATTTGTAATGTGACTCAAAAATAAGTTTAGTTAGACATAGATAGATAGATAGATAGATAGATAGATAGATAGATAGATAGATAGATAGATAGATAGATAGATAGAATGTGTATAATTGTTGTTGTACTGACATAAGTGATGCTATATCAATAGAAATATAATGAAAAAGATTTCTTATATTTGTAATGTGACTCAAAAATAAGTTTAGTTAGACATAGATAGATAGATATAGATAGATAGATAGATAGATAGATAGATAGATAGATAGATGATAGATAATAGAATGTGTATAATTGTTGTTGTACTGACATAAGTGATGCTATATCAATAGAAAAATAATGAAAAAGATTTCTTATATTTGTAATGTGACTCCAAAATAAGTTTAGTTAGACATAGATAGATAGATAGATTTGTAGATCCAAAATAGATAGATAGATAGATAGATAGATAGATAGATAGATAGATAGAATGTGTATAATTGTTGTTGTACTGACATAAGTGATGCTATATCAATAAAAATATAATGAAAAAGATTTCTTATATTTGTAATGTGACTCCAAAATAAGTTTAGTTAGACATAGATAGATATAGATAGATAGATAGATAGATAGATAGATAGATAGATAGATAATAATGTGTATAATTGTTGTTGTACTGACATAAGTGATGCTATATCAATAGAAATATAATGAAAAAGATTTCTTATATTTGTAATGTGACTCAAAATAAGTTTAGTTAGACATAGATATAGATAGATAGATAGATAGATAGATAGATAGATAGATAGATAGATAGATAGATAGAATGTGTATAATTGTTGTTGTACTGACATAAGTGATGCTATATCAATAGAAATATAATGAAAAAGATTTCTTATATTTGTAATGTGACTCCAAAATAAGTTTAGTTAGACATAGATAGATAGATAGATAGATAGATAGATAGATAGATAGATAGATAGATAGATAGATAGATAGAATGTGTATAATTGTTGTTGTACTGACATAAGTGATGCTATATCAATAGAAATATAATGAAAAAGATTTCTTATATTTGTAATGTGACTCCAAAATAAGTTTAGTTAGACATAGATAGATAGATAGATAGATAGATAGATAGATAGATAGATAGATAGATAGATAGATAGAAATAGATTTCTTATATTTGATGATCCAAATAAGTTTAGTTAAATTGTTGATTGATAGATAGACATAAGTGATGCTATATCAATAGAAATATAATGAAAAATGATTTCTTATATTTTGTAATGTGACTCCAAAATAAGTTTAGTTAGACATAGATAGATAGATAGATAGATAGATAGATAGATAGATAGATAGATAGATAGATAGAATGTGTATAATTGTTGTTGTACTGACATAAGTGATGCTATATCAATAGAAATATAATGAAAAAAAGATTTCTTATATTTGTAATGTGACTCAAAATAAGTTTAGTTAGACATAGATAGATAGATAGATAGATAGATAGATAGATAGATAGATAGATAGATAGATAGATAATTAGATGTATAGACATAAGATAGATCAATAGAAATATAATGAAAAGATTTCTTATATTTGTTGTTGTTTACTTAGACATAGATAGATGAGATAGATAGATAGATAATAGATAGATAGATTTCTTATATTGTTGTTGTACTGACATAAGTGATGCTATATCAATAAAATATAATGAAAAAAGATTTATATTTGTAGACAAAATAGATAGATAGATAGATAGATAGATAGATAGATAGACATAGATAGAATAGATAGATAGATAGATAGATAGATAGATAGATAGATAGATAGATAGATAGAATGTGTGTAACAGTAGGGAAATAAAAGAATGAGAATGAGAGAAAGGGAAACACTGAAACCCAGAGTAAAAGCAATAAAGAAGTTAAGAAAATGTTAATTTGCGAAAAAGAGAAATATTGAGCAAAGAGAGTGTGGGGGGGCAAAGAGAGAACGAGAAAAGTGGAAAGATAAAACAATAAGAACATGTGAGAGAGGGATCAGATCAAAAGTACACGTAAATAAGAGGGAAAGAAAAAATAAAATAATAATAATGATACAAGGACCTTGAAATCGGAATCTGAAAAATGTGGCACATGAGAACAGCAACAATTCCAGTTGTAGTTGGAGCCCTCCGATTGATTGGAAGAGATTCTAATAGACTCATTGAAGGGATTCCTGGAAGTCCATGCCTTAAAGAAAAAAAAAATTGTTTTCAAAATTACAGCACACACCTCACGAAGGGCTTTATCTATGTAAAATATGTGCGATTTTTTTTTTTTTTTGAAAATGATTAGTGGGAAATGTCTGATGATTTTTCACACCTTAGGTCTCTGGTTGTGGCCCGGAAAGAAATGAGTATACACCAGAAATCAAAGGAATAATAATAATAATAATAAATAAATAAATAGACAAAGAATAAAAGTATAGAAACCAATAAAAGAAAGGAAGAAAAAATGTTATAATATAGTCACATAATTCTGCAATGGAAACTTTTCTGGTTTTACTTTTCCTTATTCATAAATACGTAGACAACTGTGGATTTCTTCTAATTAACTTAGTGTTTTGATAAGATTTTTCCAATTTTCCACTTTACCAGAATAGGTATGACATTTTTTTTAACTATCCGACCGAACGAGTGAACTCTCGACGGCCAGTTGCTTAACCAAAATGTTTATCTACTCGGGCATATGTTTATAATCATAATGATGAAAAAGGAGTAAATGAAAAAGAAGAACAACAACTAAAACAATAAGAAAATGACGAAAGACGAGGAAATGAAAAAGAAGAACCACCACAATAAGAAAAAGGTAATAAAAACATGGAAGGATGCTTATAATCATAATAATTGAAGAAGGAAATTGTAAAGAACAACGACGGCAAGAACGAAAAGACAAAAAACAAAGAATGGCAAAATGGTTATAATGATGATGATGAAAAAGAAGTAAATGAAAAAGAGAGAATCATAACAATAAAAACAAGAAGAGAGGCAAAAAAACAATGGCAATTAAAAAAAAACACTAGGAAGAAAAGTTATAATGATAATGATGAAGAAGGAGTAAATGAAAAAGATGAGTATTAGAAATTTAATTCAGATTTCATTAGAGTCTCGGCAAGCACATAGCTAAATTGCATCACGCACTTTTATGAAGAGAACAGTACATTATCTCAACAAGGCAATGACTACATGAATGCCTAATTCTTTTCTCTTAGTGGGTCACAAATGAAAGTGCATAAGCTTTTGTTTCCAATTTTCATCCACAAACAATTTGAGTGCTGTCGTAAAATAAAATTGATTATTATACTATCAGTATTCATGCGATTAATGTAAAAAAAAAAACAATATATATATATATATATATATATATATATATATATATATATATATATATATATATATATATATTATATATATATATTTATTTATTTATTTATTTATTTATTTATTTATTTATTATTTATTGTAATAAAATGACGTCACACATTATGAAATGGACAAAGACCGACAATTATTTTAAGAGATTTTTATGTTTAACATTCTTTTTATAGATACAAATATTTAAGTAAATGCTCTGTTTATAAAAACAACATTTACCGGCCTGAATATCCGAGAAATGTTCACAGAAAATATTCGTCCTCCGACAGGATTCGAACGTGTATCCTATACGGAACCGTCATTTAGCTTGACGTAACTTTACAGATTTGTCCACGAAGGAGGGTTCGATTGGCAAGTTCGAATTTAAATAATTATTATAATAAAAATATTATAACAATAATATACATATATATATATATATATATATATATATATATATATATATATATATATATATATATATATATATATATATATATATATATATTGACCCTTTTCACGCTTTAGCGATCGTCAGACAAACTCTATCAAACCAAATATGTTAGCTCTATCTCTGATATTGAGCGCTTTCTAATAAGTACCACGTATATAATATATAAATAATTATACATATATATATTTATTTATATTTATATACACTTTTCACACACACATATATATATATATATATATATATATATATATACATTATAATGAAACATTTTACATCGCTACACAAAACTTTTCCTGTTTCGCTACTAAGATGTTACCTCTTCAGTAGATAATTAATGATTAGTTATAACTAATCATTAGTTATCTATACTGAAGAGATACCATCTTATTACCGTCTGCTAGGCAGCTAGACAATTTCTATCGTAGACACCTTCTCAGATATATATATATATATATATATATATATATATATATACGTTTATTAAACATCCATGGAGCCCACCTGCGGTTTATACTGCAACTATGCTGAGTAGGTCTTAGTTGCAGTTTCTGACAGAGAGTACATAATCTGTCATGATCAGCATTTTGAAAAACGTCAACATGCTTAAACCACAGGTCACAGTTACTTATAACTTCATGTTAATACAGTCATTAACGGCTTGCGGACTGAGAGATATAGCCACACGAAAATTTATCGGCCATTTTGTTTTATTTCCTAAAATGTGACCTAAACCAAACACTATTTTCTTTTGAAATTATTTCTTGACCAAATAAATTTTAAACATCTTTTCATATATTATTATCATCATCATCATTTTGAACATCATCATCTCGAACATCATTCATTGCTAATATACCGCATGACAAACACCTTTCCTAATCTTTCCATAATGACTGCAATTGTTCTTTTTGATATCATATCTTTCCATTAAATACTTCTCCCTCTCCAACTTCTATCGGTTTTTACTACTAGCTTTGCCACTCGTTGGGTATTAATAAAGCAACCTTTTACTCCAGCTGTTATCTTTTCTTCTGTGTCCCTTCCACTTTCATTTTTATCTTTTAAATACTTCTGTACTATCTTTTATCCTGGTATGTTCTCCGACTAACGTTGACCTTGTATATATGGTTATATATAAATATAACACTTTATAAAATATAAAATGTATCATTATTATAATTTATTAACATAATAATACAATGAAAATATTATATAATAATAATAATATAATAATGATTATATATAATATGATATTATTTCTGTCTGGATTTCTGGGATGAAGAGTTGTAATTATTTACACTAGTTACATTCGGACTATATTCCTCAACAAAGATAAGGACAATGGTCTGAATGTAAATATTGTAAATAATATGATATTAATATATACAATATTAAATATCAACTGTGTTATCAGATAATTATGTAAGTATTTATCCACTTGCCCACAATGAAGGTAAAATGGCACAAGGTCAGGTTTAAAGTGGGATTTTGTGCGCATATGGAGTTAGTAAAAAAATTGACCAATTCAATAGCATTAGTGTCAGCCATCAGGAACTCACGCAGGTTCTCAGCCTTGTAAATGCAATAATTAACGGTCTTTCTTGTCAAACTTTGTGTGCTTGTGTAACGGCTTATCTACTCAAGATTATTTAATGCCGAAATTTAATTTTCTTGGAAGTATTAGTAATTTCTTTTACAAAAGTGTATTGGTGGTAATTTTTATTTTTTTCTACAAAAAAATTATTGCTGGTAATTTTTATATGGATCAAACATGAGATTTTATTTTCAAAATATATGTTGCTGCTGGCAATTCCTGACACGGCTCGTTTCCCCGAATTTGACCAATTGATCAAACATCAGATTTGATTTTTAAAAAGTTTTCTTGATCAAATGAGAAATTTTCGGTATTTTTCGTATATCTGTTGAAATATAAAAAGCAGTACAATAATGAGTCATCATCACCAAGATTAATGTAAATAATTTTAATATATATATATATATATATATATATATATATATATATATATGTATATATGTTTTTATATATATATATGTGTGTGTGTGTGTTATATATATATATATATATATATATATATATATATATTCAGACAAGTTTGGTTAAATAATTTAGACATACTATGTGTGCTTATTTTTGTTTAATGATTTCAAGTCCACGAAACAATTTCTTGGTAGCCGTATGAAATTGATTAAGAAAAGCAGCATAATTTTCTTTCAAATAACTTTTATTTTTCCTAGTACTTTGACTCATATCTGAGACCATCTTTAGGGAATTAATTGTATGTTTATACGTATTTTTCCATGCAAGGTTGGTAACTTTTCTTAGTTTATATATACATACATACACCCCCCATATATATATATATATATATATATATATATATATATATATATATATATATATATTTGTTTTTGTGAAGTCATCGAACACTCGTTGCCACATTTGTGATGTCAACGAATACTCGATGTCACCTTCGTAATACATGTTGTAGTAGAGACTTTGTGATCGCAGATACAATAATAGTTGAACATTATTGGTATCAGACGCCTTCGAATATCACTCGCACTAATAGCACTTGCTCGATAATACTCGCTCGAATAGTAATCCGTATAAAGATCCGAGTACAGAAATAATATAGTAGAGTAGAGAATAGCGGTCCGTATAGTAGTACTAGAGAATAGAGGAGAAATA